TTGCAGTTCTACATTAGAAAATAATGTTTGCCTCTTTTACTATTTGTCTTTAAATCTAAGGTCACTGTGGACAAATGGGAGCCTCTTTTAAACAACTTGGGTCATGTGTGTCGGAAATTGAAGTAAGTATGGAGCCCTTTTTTTATTTTTTGACAAAATGCTGGGTTGTTTACACTTTTAGCTTTGAATTTTTTTTTATGGAATTATGGATTTCAACTTCTTTGAGTGTGCACATCCGCTTTCGCACTAGTATGGAGGATCATTTTATCTCGAGGATTGGCAAAGAAGATTGCAGAGTGTGCATTTCTCCCTTGCTTATCTCCTTTACCTTCTTCCTACAAATTATTTTCAGATATGTTCTATCGCAATCATTCAGTGTAGGTAGGACCCTCATTTAAAATTCATGAAAAGACCCTTTAATAAATTATGCATAGGCACCACTCAATGGACATAAGAGGCTTGCAGAATGTGGGCCACACAAGTGTTTGTTTTGAAAGGTTGGGATAGGTTTTATAAGGAGGGTTTCATCCTCACAAAGGGAATGCCTTACATAGGTTGTTGGTGCGCCACATCCATGGTGTTATTCAATTTCCGTTCGTCATATGCTAACCACAGCTGCACATGTGCTGTGTGAAAATGTTGTGTTGCAGTTATTACTGAAGATAAATATCAACTCAAAGAATCTAGATGTTTAGAAACAGAAATATATTATTGTTGTGCTGCTCCCTTTGGCCACCATTGTTTTATTAGATTTAGCAGATGAAGAGTTCTCATTATGTTTTTCAAAAGGATAATAACTACAGTAGTTTGTAGGTTGAAATGTACAAATATATTTTTTTTTTATAGCTGATGCGATTACATTTTTGTCTCTAGATGGCATACAGAACCTGTTTATCATCAAGCTGTATCTGTTGACATTTCCTCACTATATGTTCTCCTGGAAAACGTAATGATGGAGTTTAAATATAATATTTGGTTAAATGTACTTTGTGATATGTACGCAAACATGATTTTCTGTTGAATCTGTTGATGTGGAATCTGTATATTGTGCGGTTTGTGTAGAAAGTACGAGCGGGCGCTGGAGTACCACCGCCAGGCGCTGGTGTTAATCCCTCAGCACGCCTCCACCTACTCTGCCATAGGATACGTGCACAGCCTTATGGGAGACTTCGAGAGCGCTATCGACTACTTTCATACGGTAAAGTGCCTTTTTCTCCAGTCTTTATGGATTTTATTTCCCACTTAAAACCTTCAGCAATGTGTATTTAAAACACTGCCTAAATAGAGGATGGTTGTCAGTTGAGGTTTGATATAAGGAGTTGCCATAGAAACAGAACTTATGAATGAGGCATAGTGGAGTGTCGTTAAAGGTCAATGTGTTGAATAGCGAGCTTTCTTTTGTAAACACAAACAAACACAAGGTCAGCTTTAATATCACTTAAATAAACATTGCAAGTGCAGATTAAATAAACTCCAACTTTACAAAGTTTAAATGAAAATAAAGCCAGAATAGACATATTTTGTTGTTTTTTATGATGTTTTTGGATTGTCCATCCATCTCATTCTCATGCTCCATATATAAAGAACATCTGGAAGGAATTTCTTCTATTTGGAATAATTGTCAAATAAATAACTAATTAGATATGGTGGTCAAAGGTCAAGGCTACCGTGACCTCATAAAAGAATTGTGTGGCCATAACTGAAAAATGCAAGTGCTCATTTGAACAATGCACACAAATGTGTGATGGAATAAAATGGGATGGCATTTTGGAAAGACATGACATCCAAACTGCAACATGACTGGTTGGTAGGCGAATACCTCTGTCAGTAATGTAACTAGTTGGAAGAAACCGTTATATTTATGTACCAAATGCTTAAAGGGTTTTGGTTTCTTTCTGTGCAGGCACTTGGACTGAAAAGGGACGACACTTTCTCTGTGACGATGCTCGGCCATTGTATTGAGATGTACATTGGTGACACAGATGCCTATTTAGGTAGGATACAGCTACACTGCCTTACAGTGTCAGGTTGTTTTATCTTTGAACATTTTTAATTTAAGTCCAAGTTAAATTGTTCAGCAACTTATCCCATGGGTTTTTATAGGCAACATTCTTCGTTCATTGAAAATATGCAAATATCTGTTCTGAAACACCTGCAGAAAGGTTAGGTCTGTAAAACAATGTGTTGTTATTTGTTTCCACGAAGGCACAGACATCAATGACAAGGTGCGAAGCAACTTGAACTTTCCATCGCTGATGAAGATGCTGAACACGTCGGAGTCTGGTGATAACCTCGCTACTCCGAGATCAGAAGGACCCAGTAGCATGTCCTTGGAAACGCCACTGTCAAATCAGGACAAGATGATGCTGGAGACACCGCTGCAACTCTCTTTAACCCTCGAGTGCGACATGTACGAGAGCGACGTGATGTTAGAAACATTGTCAGACACCAGCACGTGATCTCATCCTGCCAGGAGGAGCTGTTTTAGCAACAGGTTCTTATAGGTACACATTCAAACCCAAGGACAACTATCAAATTCAAACCCAAGGACAACTATGAAATGTAAACCTTGGCGCCTGTCCTCCACCAAAGGTTTCCTGTGGATTCCCCCTCTTGTGCATTAATATGGTGATAAAAGCGGATAGAACATCCCTATGTGAACATAATGGGAATGAGTAGAAGTAGCTGAATTGTTATACAGCACCTGCCGTAGACCATAATACATTTGCTAGGATGCACTTTAAAGGGGGATTAACATGTGCCTTGGTTACGGGGTTGAGTGAAGACTGAAGACACTGGGAACATGTGGCCTCTGACACTTGATTGAAAAGAGCAAACGCAGCCAAACTCCTCACATCGAATCTAAAAGACTAAAAGTCACTTATTACTGCCTATGGCAGGACCCTACATGTTGCTTAACCTGTGGATTTCCAAGTTGAATAAAGAGCCAGCTGAAAACAAGCACTTTTTGGTGAAAACGATTATTGGTCATTCTTAAAATAAACCATGCCTTTATCTTCTTAATAGATTTAAGTGTATCTGTGTTTTGTGTTGAACAGAAAAAGTGGGTGATTTGTCAAACTTACAGAAAGCATGTTATACCAATAATGTTGGGAAATTAATAATTGTCTACCTACCGTCATAATGACAACATCTTCATTATGATACCGTGGGTTACATCTGTAGTGTCTGATTGAATGAGTTGCCACTAAATGTTTCAATTGTTCTTAAAAAACAAGATTATGATTTTTCTAGTGGGATTTTTTGTACTTGTGTAAATGTCATGATGTAGATGCCGAGTTCCTTTTCATGATATTTGCCTGCATAAAACATAGTTATTAGTTATAGAGTTAAACAATTGCAGAATATAATTGACAATTGTTAGGCATTGAATACATTTATGATACGACTACTTTGCTGAAAGAAAAGTTATAAAATGTGAAACAGAATGTCCCCATTACTGCCTAGCACTGCAGAGAAACGTGTAGACAGACCATCCTCCCTAATGTAATGCTCCGGTTTAGAGGAGGGGTCAGGGTCCCTCACAACTCCCCTCCATCCCTCCCTTGACATTAACAGGTTAAATACAATGCTATTCTGTTTGCCTCCCGGACATTATCCCAATGGAGAGCTTCTGTAGTAATTTCAGGAGAGATGGGCTGTACTCCCTCTAAATCGGCCGTCATTTACAGCCAAGAAAAGGTGTGCCAGGACCTGGACACCTGCTCCACCTTCGTCCCCAGCCTGCAGAGCTCCGTGTCCACACCAGAGAGACCTCGGCTGGGTTTGGAAACCAGCAATGGCAGGCAAATTTACCTCAGTGGTGAGTTTATAAAACCAATTCCCTTGAACAGGTGACAAAGATGTGCACCATGCTCGGAGTTAGGCTACTGGTCCAGATGTTGTCTTCAGTGGGCTCAAGGGGGGGGACTGTTTGCTCCAAATGTACTTTGACAAATTAACGTCCCATTTTTCCATTTGTAAAGATATTTTGTTAAACTTTGTTGGTGTCCCTCAGTTCCCTGTCGAAGTGTCCACGCGCAGTCTGTCAGCCTTTCTTCCACCCCTGAGTGCTGGGGCTCTTCCCCCCCGGGCAGCTCGCTCTCTGCTGGTCCGATCAGCGTGAAGCCCCGCTGCCAGACCCCGGAGCTGCACGGTGCCTGCTCCGACCTACAGTGACTCTTGGACATTAAATTAAGATAAAACCAGTTCTACTTGTGTCGTGTATTATAAACCTATCAGCTTGTATTCAGATATGCAGCGGAGGTAATGTAACAATAATCTGATAGCTGATTTTTTTTTTTTTTTACATTTAAACTGTTCTAAAGTAAAAGATTTTTGTATTTAAAAAAATGTTATGAGCAAAACGTGGTGTCCTTGGTGCTTGATTTGATTGAAATGAACATGTAGCTTTTTACAATGCTAATATTTCCATAGGTTATGAACTTTGTAGATAGTGGTTATGAAATTTGTAGATAGTGGTGGAAAGTAACATAATTATCATATGCTTATACTTCCAGGCTTACTTTACATTAATATTCGGCCAACTCTACATTGACTTTACTTTTACTTAGATTGTAAATGAAACAATGTACTCCCTTACATGTAGGCTATTTTACTGTTTTAGTTTTTATTTATTTCATTTAGATTGAAATTTGTAGACGATATCACACGTAAAGATAAGACTTTAAAGCTAGCATGTAAAGTGATAAAACCATCCCCACCAACCAGCTTTAAAGAAGTGATAGGCCTACTTGCAATAACTTGTGGTTATTATCCATCAATATGATAAACATTATTCATAAATAGACGGTTTTCTTTATGAGACCTATACATTGACACAAATATTACTCTTGTCCCCAAACCCAACTTGTGCTAATTGTGTTGCATGTATGTGTGGTTATCCTAGCAGCTATATGGCCACAGACAGGTCAGAACATAATATAAAAGCTGACTCGCCGCACTCGCGATATTTCTACACTCTCGCGAGAACACAGCGGCTTTACACGGGCGAGAGGGAGATGGAGAGAAATGAGGTCTGAAAAGGACCAAATGACCGTGGGCAAGGAGAAAAGCGTCGTGGAGATACAATTTAGAGACATCCCAAGAGAGCAGGAAAACATTCCTGGAAACCTGAAGCAGAAAGAAGAGAAGAAAGAGGTTTTTACCAAGGTGGGTAGCCGAGCGTTTGCGATGTGTCGCATTGTTTACGCTGTGTGGAAAACAGAAATGGAGGGAGGTGGGATCCTTTCAGCACCGTGGACAGCGACAGGAGGAGGAAGGACTACACTCCCAACCTGTCAGCTAGACCTATAATATCATATCATAGTACAATTCACAATCCTCTCAGACTTTATATAATGTAAACACTGGCGAGATAAGCTATGGTCTATAACACAACATTGTACGTCTTGTTATCGCTGTTATTGACTCTCAAATCCATACGTTCTGCTTAGTTTAGAGTTGCGAAGGTGCAGTGTAAATCTCATAATGCTGAATATAGCAATAATTTCTTTAGTATGTATTAGGCTATGCTGTAAATTGGCCTACTATTTTCCGTGCATAATTTTCTGTGTGCATTTGAGTGTTACATGTTATTCTGTTTCAGGACACTTAGTATCTCTTGAATTTTGGTATCACCATTAGAATTCAAAATAATATTCAGGTGGTTAGAATAATACATGTCAACATCTATGGTCAACATACATACAAGCATGAGTTTGTTATTGCTGGCACATCAATAGGTCAGAGCGATAAGGGTATTCATGAAGTTCAGTATTGCACTTCCAAAACACACTGTTTAAAATAATGGTGAATAATAAAGCAGCAGTATGTCCGAGTTCAGTTTTTAAAATGCTGCAACCTACACTTGATTACAGGTCGTGATTCGAAGGCTTCCACCAAACCTGTCAAAGGACCAGCTAGAGGAACAGCTCAGTCCCCTTCCATCCTACGACTATTTTGAGTTCTTTCCAGCTGACCAAAGGTAATCATGATTTTTTCCTAACAACAAATACCTTAGACCAAACTTGTGCATAGGATAACAAAACGTGTTGCCTTTGCCCTTTACATGATAATATATGACTTCACCTTCTTTGTCTTTCTCTTTTTCAACAGTCTCTATCCCCACTTGTTCTCCAGAGCATATATTAATTTTAAAATCCCGGAAGATATCCTTCTGTTCAGGGACCGATTTGATGGCTACGTCTTCATTGACAACAAGGGTATTTAGCTTTGTTTGAACTCTGTAACACTTTGGTGGCCATTAAGCGCAGCACATAGGGCGAGATATTCTGCTAAATGAAATCAAAACAAAGATGTGTTTGTTTTACAGCTACAGGCTAAATGTTAAGGGCCGAGAGATGGCGTAAGAGCTTTTGTTGCCATCGTTACTATTTGATTGCTGGTCCGTTAAATGACGAGCTGCCTTTTATTTCAATATTTACCCAGGACAAGAGTACCCTGCAGTGGTGGAGTTTGCCCCCTTTCAGAAAATCTCAAAGAAGAAGCTAAAAAAGAAGGATGCCAAAACTGGAAGCATTGAAGAAGGTAGAGAAATAAAAAGCTTGATCCATCATTAAAACATGCCCTGATATACAGAGCAGTAGACATTATATTCAGCGTTTTATTATAATATTAATGCATGGATTTATAACATAGTGAAAATCAATTCTTGAATCTTTGAATATGACATTCTCATTGTGGATCTTACACTCCCTCAGACCCAGAATATAGGCGGTTCTTAGAGAATTACTCCTGTGATGAGGAGAAGTCTATGGCCAACCCTGAGACTCTGCTGGGAGAGATAGAGGCCAAGACCAGAGAGCTCATAGGTACAGTACCACATTTACTAAGATTCAGGTATGTACAAGTCAGAAAGATACTGGACCTCAGTGAACTAATCTTCATCATTATCCCTTGTATTGACTTCAGCCAAACGGACTACACCGCTGTTGGAATACATCAAAAATAAGAAAATTGAGAAACAGGTAAGAAATGAAAAATGCTTATATTGAAACTGATGACCTACACATTTCTTTGTTCTTCTCTAATGTGTCAAATATGTTCCAACAGAGAATAAGAGAGGAGAAGAGAGAGGAGCGGAGGAGAAGAGAGCTCGAAAAGAAACGGCAAAGGGAGGAGGAAAAGAGAAAGCGAAGAGAGGAAGAGAGACGCAAACGGAAAGAGGCAGAGAAGCAGAGGAAGCTGTCTGATAAAGACATTAAAATCAAGGTAATGCTTCATCATGAAAATAAACCGTTTTGATACCTGTCTTTCCTTGCTGTTTGGAGTATACCGGCAACGTTATTGGTGTATTTATGAAGGTTTTCCTGTATTATATCCATATGTAGCTCCTTAAGAAGAGTGACAGGGACGATGACGTGGATTCAGACCGGATGAAGGACAAAAGTGACATTGGGGAGACAGACAGATGCAAATGGGAGAAAGCCGGAGGACAAATGAAGTCAAAGGACCCCAAAGAAAAGTAAGGATTGTTTGGGCACAGTCTGAGATTCCCCCTATTAAAAATGTGTTACCACTTAATATTTGTGTTGTTAAACCCCTGAATACAACCTCTCTATATCTTTATTTTAAGGTAGAAAAAATCATCATACACCTTACTGTAAAGTGTAACCAAGAATTCTGAGCAAAACAGCTGTGTTTGTGTAACAATTATATAAAGTGGTGTGTGTGTGTATGTGTGTGTGTATGTATGTGTGTGTGTGTGTGTGTGTGTGGCCTAGCATTACTATACTTGTGGGGACCTAAATATGTTTACACAGTCACGTGTGGGGACTCGCTTCCATTATGGGGACAAATTGGAGGGTCCCCATGAGGGGAATCATTAATTTTAGGGTGAAGACTTGGTTAGGTTTAGGATTAGGGTTAGGTTAAGGGTAAGGGTTAGGGTTAGGCACATGTTGGTTATGGTTAAGGTTAGGATAAGTCTCCAGGAAATGCATATAGGTCAATGTAATGTCCCCTGAAGTGATATATACATGGTATGTGTGTGTGTGTGTGTGTGTGTGTGTGTGTGTGTGTGTGTGTGTGTGTACATTTCCATAAAACAAGAACACACTATTTCATTCTACGGTCCAAGTTCAGTCACGTCAAGCAATGCAAATTAACTTCTCGACCAAAAGCAGAAGTGGTTAGTTTGAAGGCTGAGAGATAGACTTC